ACAAAAACAATGAATGAAGTCAAATTTTATTAGCGGTTGGTTTAAATGTTACCGCATTGTTAAATTCATTTTCTCCCTGATTTGTAGGAAACTGTTTCTCAACTTGTCTCTTTATTTAGTTTCAATCAGTGTTCAAGTAATTAGTTGGCTACCCCCATATAGTAAATATCGGTGGATTAATCGCATTTATCATATTATCACTTGTACGCCAGCTGACTGTGGCTATTCTCAGGCTGATCAGGGAAACTACATGTATTTTCACATGATCATGCCTTGCAAAGCAAATCATTCAGGGGAATCCAGACATGTACCAGGCTACATAAAAGCATTCTATGTTCCCTAATGCAATAAAGACTCGCATAGAGTGGACGCGACCACGAGTCAGCGCCAGCGAGATTCGAAAGCCAACTGTTTAGTCAAAACCCAAGCGATTAGCCAATCCGCTAGTGAGTTTGCAAATTGGCTGCCCCAATACTTCTGAGACTTGCGGAAGTTGGATCATTGTTCGTTTTTCTTGCTAAATACTCAGGTTAACATGTGTTAATTCAGGTCTCATACCACTAATTTATTTATTTATTTATTCAACACTAAAACAAACTATAGTAAGTTGTTCTATGGTCATATAACAATACAAATAAAAATAAAGATAAAATAAACTAAACTACACTAAAAATTGACAATGTTAGCATTTGGGTAAATTTTACCAAGAAAATTGAAACCACATGTACATGTATGTTATAGAATTCTGGTCAGTAGAAACATGTTGGCCAGCTCAAACTCCTACAAAATGGATGTAAACAAAACACACAGATTTGACAGTCTTTCTCGCAGACAGTGTAATATCACTAATCACACACAAGTCTCACAGCTGACGTATTTTGGGTACACTCCCATAGATCGCGTTTCAGAACGATAAGACGCGGTGAAAGAATTTCCATTGGTGAACAACAACCATAAGATTTTGGCTATGAACGCTGATAGCATGATTGATGACATGATTCACTCCCAGCAAGGTCTACCAAGGCACGCATCATACGGGCGTAATCCCCAATTCACACCTATAAAAGGCGTTTCTAATCTGTTTTATAGTAGTCTTAGACTTTTGCTGATTTAAAGTAGCCTGGAACCATTGATGCGATATACATATTTAATATTATTATGTATTTGGGATTGTTGATTTTAGCGAACGAGTTCAGTATTACAGCAGACAAGGTAAGGACGACTTTATAAGGCTGTTTTATTTATTTGTTGGTGTAAATACAACAGTATAGTTTCCAGGCTGCAGCATGGTTGCAATAGTATTATTAACGTCATCAAAGAAGTAAACAAACGGAACATGTAAAACAGGAATTCATAAGCCCATAATTTACGAATTTGTAAACAACAGTTTTTATACCAATTGAATTTCTGTACATTACCTTCCTCTACATACTCAGCTTCACCGTCACCGCCCCCTTCAGCCATTTCCGGAAAATATGAACACAAAAACTGCTACATGCATGAACAAAATTATCAACTACCGTGGTGTCAGGAATCTCAAAACAGTTGTCATGCCAAACTCTCAATCTCGAACGCTTCATCAACAAGTCACACGAGATCGTGGTATTTTGACCCTTGACCTAAATTGCTCCCTCGAGGTCAACAGACGAGATGAGTGAGCGTGTCTTCGCTCTGACACTTTCGAAGCAGCATGTCGGCAATGAATTGGATTTATTACTGCGTATAGCCGATACAGCATGGATAGTAGATCCCCAGAGCTTCGATTAAATCGTAAGTTTTTAGAAAATTTTCTCATTTCCAAGCAATGGTTTTAAATATCCCGGTACGTGATTATGTTTAAGGGATTAACCAATAACTGTTTTTAGGGGAGGCAGGGATTGAATTAGGAGGGGTCGGCGTACATGCATGAATAAACGTTTTTTTTTACATGTTACAATAATTATAAATTAGGATGAAGAAATATACCAAGAAATTATTGTGAAAAAGCTTTTTATCAATTGACATTAAATCTATTTTGAGGTTTAGTTTTTTCATGGATGTGTTGTTTCCTAACGGCTTGCTTTTTAAGATTTTCACTAGATTTACCGTTTTGTCACTGGAAACAATGTTTGGCTTTCTTTGCCAACGGTTGATTGATATTTTACAATTGACTCTAGAGGAAACTGATTCTGATTGAATGCTGAAGAAAATTACATTTGGTTTTTCAATTACATTCATTCCCTGTGCCTTCACATGACAATATTTATATTAATTTGAAGAATAAGATTTTAACAAAGGATCCATGTTATTACCAATAATGCCCTATAATTCTAAAGAAGCCAGTTGAAGACATTCATGTGGCTATTTATAGTTCAATAAAAGCACGTCTTTGAGGACTGACTGAATTTCGAATAATTGGATTCCTAGTATTTTGATAGTTTTTATATCAAATTGTTTGTGTTTTAACTGTGTTAAATCTGAATTAAATTGCTTTGAAATTATGTTTTTATGAGCAAAAAATGTTCACTCAGTTATTAAGTAGAAATCCTTTCTTAATCATTTTTGCATATATTCTGTAAGCCAGGTGAATACATTTCCTGCAGCTACCGGTACATTTGGCTGCTATTTTCAGCTGAAAAATCAAAATGCAAAATGTGATTTCATAACCTCATATCAGTGCAGTATAAACAATGTTTACAATGGCTTATCAAAAGAAAATTGTGTACTTAAATAATTTTTTAAATATCTATGACATAATGTATATATTTTGGTCTGATGTACACAGCAACAACACAGTCTCATAAATTATTATTTTTATTGGCCGTTTTTAATATGGCAGCATGCTGGGGTTGCTCAATGATGTGAAATATGACTGCTTTATCTCTTAGCAACAATAATACAGCAATCAGTAATGTTCTGTGGAAATGATAATTCTGTGGCAGGTTTTGTAAAAACAAAATGTCTGCTGCTTTTATTTACTGTAGAATACCGTAGTAACTCTAGAAACATTCTTGATCTAATATTGTTTGTAAAACACTGAAATGTACCCGTAGTATACTTTTGATATAAATTTGTATGATTTAATAATTTGAGGTTGTTTAAGGAACAATTTTTGCAGAAAATTTTAAAATGGAATGCTTCATTATTTATCCTTCTGAACTGACCAGACACACGAGTTTTGAAAGACATAAACGATTATAGAGCTTTTCTCTACGATCCATAATAATTAAACACTAGTGGTATGATGTTTACATTATCTGTATTTTTTTGTGTGCATAGAAATTAATTCTTACAGGAGATGTCCAATGAAATTTATGCTTCTGTAAAATTTCTTGATTTTGTCTGGCTTGAAAGAATTATTTCGTCACGATTTTGAAGCGGTTTACAGTTGTTTCCAATTCACGCTACAGTTGTATACTGTCATTCAAATAGAAATGTTTATTCATAATCATTATAATGCACATTGAGTCAGAGATGAGACAAATATCTTGCTTGCGAATTTTACTGAAATTCAGAGTGATTTCTCTGAAATTGCTTTTGATGATTCAGTATAAGATGTTGCTAGGCAACCAGATTCAGTAAAAGATATTGCTAAGCAATCCAATCATCTTTCTTGAACACCCAAGGTTATCAAGTAAATGAAGGGATTGCCTTAGAATTGTTATGTGGAGAAAATTTAATGTTCACTTTTTGTAAATGTTATCACAAATGGAACACAAGCTTATTCAAAAATTAATATTTTGCAATATATCATTTGGATTGTGGATTTATGCACACACAAAAAAATTTGTTTTTCCAAGTCTGAATAAAAAATATAGTTATTTATTTTCCTTTAAATGTCTGATGTCAATTCTAATAATGTTGTTGATTTTTTATGAACAAAAGCTTTATTTCATTTCAGTACCTTTCTAACTTCAATCTATTGGAAACGCATATAATAATACATGTATTATAATATGTTTATTAAATATAGCTATGTAAACAAGTGTTTTTAAATTGCGTCTTCATTTTTCACAGATTAAAAGCAATACTTAATGGCAATGTTATTCTCTAACAGGATACATTACAAATTCAGTTCAATTGAATATGTAGTATAATCATTATTTGGCAAGCTGTTTAAATAAAACTGATCTGATCTTTGAAATATGTACACAATGTAGACGTGCTTGATGATTGGTTAGTTGAATTGAGGTGAGAAATAACACATTTTAGTCTGATTCTTAATGCGTATATACATGTATCATAGCTACATGTACGTGGTTATGTCCCAGGAGGATGCATCTAGAGTACTACATCTGAGCTTGTTCACCGAGTTCTGTTTGAGCTTATTCTTGTTCATCAATCGTGTCATCTCTTCATCAGCTGTTCCTTCCCACAGTTTTGACATGTGTATAGCATTCAACCATGAGTTCTGCTTCATCAGTTTGTTAACACTTTATTCTAAACTGTTTAATATATATTTGACGGTATAAGTTCGCAAAAGTCGCTGCTACTCTCTGTCTTATAGTGGCACTCTGAGTTCATTTCTATCTTTTTTGTGGTTTTATGACATATTATGTGAAAGATGGGCTGTTTTAAACGAACAAATTGTCATGTACTGTAAAATACTTTATTTTTGCTTGGAATTCATTTTTGCTTGTTTCGCTGAAGGAATGATTCAGTGAAAATTAAAAATCCAGCGAATATACCTTTTTTCCTATATTTAACATTCAACTCGTCAAAAATCAGTGAAAATAAATTCCATACAAAACACTCCAAAAGTATTTTCAGCGAAAAATAAAGTATTTTATAGGACTGTAATGGATTGATTATTTAATGGCTTTAAATTTTGCATATTTTCACTGATACGTAAAATCCGCTAAATTAACTATATCCACATGAACATGTGAAACAATAATAAAACTAATTGTTTTTTGCCAAACTTGTGAACTTAAAACCTATCAAAATAGTGAAATTAAATATCGGTGAAAATAAATGGTTTTACAGTATTTCCTCCAATTTATGCACATCTATGTCATCAACTACATGTATTTTACCATATTTGCTCTATTAGTGGTGCACATGCTTACATAAATTAGAAAGGTATTTCTATCGTCAAAATAACTAATATTTTAAGGATTCAGTATACAACAAATGTATACATGTAAACCCTTCTATTGGAGATGTGCTTCTAATAGAGTAAATATGGTAAGACATGTAGTTCCAAAGCTGCATGAACTCTTTATGAATGCTCTCAGAGAGCATGTAAGCACCTAATGTTCACTGCTACTCAATTTTTCATGATAGAATTGAAATGGTTTTACAGTGACCTACAGTTGTGTATTATTATTAAAACTTGTCGGTCTACTATAAAATGTATATAAATATCTGGCCTTGTATTTTATAGTTCAAAATTCAAGACTCCTCCCACTCTATTACTAATGGAAAAAGATTGTGTATGGATATATGAACAGACGATAAAACTGCTCTCATAAAGTGAGTGTATTATATCGTTCAACCAACCTGCTTGCATTCATGAATTTTTAATAAAAAAAAATAATAATTACTGACTTATGATTTATTTCTTATAAATAATGACACCTATCATTATGTATTTTAGTGAAAAAAATTAATGTACACTTAGTCCAAAATTATTCTAATGCAATTAATTTTTTTCATGAACAAACTGAATGGAAAATATTATTATATAAATTTGTTATGTCTATATACACTATCTTAAATACTAAATATAATACAACCAGCCCATGGAGCTTAATTTCTGCATTCCTTGTGAGTTTGTTTTTTCATTTTTGCTGTCTATTGATGGAAATGTTCTTTTCTCCCTTTGTAACTGTCAGTGTACAATTTCTCATATTTTATTTAATAAACAGACTAAATGGTATTTCAATATTGTTGTTACTTGTAGTAATAAATTTGTATTGTGCTGCATCAAAGGAAATACTCTCAATAATTTATCGACCTGATTACACTGTTGTCTTATTTTCTGCATGTACAAAGTTAATCTTGCAGTGTATTTTAAAATGAGAATATTACGCTTCATCTGACATGTACGGTAATTCCTGATCCACTGGAATCTTTCTACGTATAACTTAGTACATATATTCACATGTACTGTCAGCAACAAGTAACTTCATATTGTTCATACATGTACCTCTTGTGCTTATTAAAATACTGTAGAATACTTTATTTTCGCTTGGAATTTATTTTCGCTGAAGGGATAATTCTGTGAAAATAAAATCCAGCGAATATACTTTTTTTTCCCTATATTTCACATTAAACTCATCAAAAATCAGTGAAAATAAATTCCATACAAAATGCCCAAAAAGCGAAAACTAATTCCAGCGAAAATAAAGTACCGGTATTCCACAGTACGTCCATGTACGTATTCAAAAATATTGATTACATATTAGAATCGTCGTTGAGAATAATATCCAGTGAATTACATGTACTTCAATGACTGTTCAATTTTGGTATATTGAACGCTACATCAGACAGGCAAATTGCCATTTAAATTATTCATAATTGAGCATAATTCCCCTAATGTATATTTTAAGTTTTTTGTTGCCAAGTTGCCATTTTGCTGACCGCTTCAAATTGATGAAAGTGTTCCCACTCCTAGTAGAATTCTATACATTGTGCATATATTGGACTAGTTTTATTGTATTTTATATTGATGTTCTAAAACAGGACATATTGACTTTATGGTTGAGTTGTATGAAGGTGACCAGTGAAACCATTGTGTCAGGGAACCCCCTCCCTCGAGGGAGATACACTACTGATAATTATTACACTTTTGTTACTGGACCCCCCTGACCACAGTGAAGTATTCATTGATAGAAAATATGACATGATTTGGAAAAAATATAAAATTAAAGTGCTTTTACAGTAATTGTCACAAATAAAAGTTATTCATAAGATAACAGATTGAATACCTTAGTAAATCAAAGTACACGAAGAAGGGATGCAACCACAGATAAATTGGACTGTCTCTATGTCAAAATGGAAAACATCCCTATGTAATGTCTTTGGATTTTTAGATCAGTACCGTATGTACAAATTTATGAATAGAAAAATGTACCGGTATATTCTCTTTGTTCTAAGTACTGTTGTAAATTTATCTTAGACAATTAATTCACAAAATGTTTTTCTTACAACATTAAACTTGCATTATTATTGAGTTAAATATACATGTATATCAAACTGCACATATTTTATGTCTTTTTAATGTCTTTTATTCACTGAACTGAGATGACCTTTTAACTGACAGACTTAATCAACAGCCTGACATTTTGACATTTTGAGAATTATAATAATTAATTCAAATGATTTCAGTAATTGTATCAAATAAAAGGTTGTTCTTATTTGTTACTTTAAGTTCAATTCCTACCACCTAATCCCTTCTGGGAGACTTAAATTTATTCAGAATTATCATGAAAATCTCCTTTATTTTAATGGAGGCCATTTGACGCTGTGTTTCAGATTTGTACATAAATTTATAAGTTGTATTGACGTAAATGCTGCTCTGTGTTTCCCACGCAGTGATTGAGAATTTTATACTGTGTGTGTACCTGAGAGCTTATATGCCCTGTTTACTTCATAGTGTAGGTGTTGACGTACCACTGCCTTCAGGGAGAAAAAAACACTTTCATAATATGTCTAAATTTTATCCTTCATCTTGTTTTTGACCAATCTGTCTATTTTGTGATGATCAATTTGCATTTGATGCATGTTTTTTAAACTCAACTGATGTAGCACTTACCGGTAAGTAATGACTGATTGTTCATCCATCGTTCTGTATGAATGCTTTAGTGAAACACTATCTTTTCAAAACTACTACTGTAAAATGACTAATTTTCACTAGGTTTAAATTTCACTGATTTACCATTTCAGGCATATTCATTGAGTATTAATGTTCACGGTTTTATCTTTTAGATAATGTGTTCTATGCTAAATTTTACATATTCACTGGGTTATAATTTAGCACATTTTCCAGTCAGCAAAATAGGCAAAATTGAAACCCAGTGAATTATTAATTCCTTCACAGTACCTTTAATATCTGATTTTTTTCTTTTAGTTCTGCTTAATTTGTAGTAATTTTTTTATAATTGTTGGTATTTTAATAGTACATAATGTTATTTTTTGACATCCTTTTATAAACTAATATTCAGATTGCCTACATGTATCTCTCTATTTTCCCTCTGGTCATAAAAATGAGAATTAAATAAATCATTACAATATCTGCTGATTTCTATTTTTGGGAAATACTTTTTTGTCTTTTATTAAAGCAAAAATTTTGTTGAAAGCTACTATATAAGGAATCAGAATTGTTCATTTACTGTTTTTATACGTCAAATAATACACAGTTCAGATGCTCTACAGTAGAGTTGTTGCAAATGACAGATGGATTATTATAATATATTGAATATCTGACTTGAAAATATTCTATATTTTACAGAAAACTATAATTGTCATATATGTTTTATTTCCTGCGTCACTGGATTTCAACTATCGCATTCTTTTATCTAATGTATCATGTATTTAATGCATACATAATGATATAGTATTCTACTAGAATAGAAATTCAATACACATGTATATCCTAAGCATAGAAGAACATTTCCCCCGAAGTTAGTAGGGCCATTGTTCTCCTTGTGTAAACTGTTATATTTGTATTTCTTGTCTTTCAGATGATATACATAAATTTTTTAGATTAAGTGCATCATTGGTCAAATAATAATATGAAATAGGAATTTTTTGTACTGGTGTTTTATGCTGTATATTAGCAAATACATTGGTTTTATAATTAATCATGACATGAAAATGCTGTAGTATTCGCGAAACGAAACAATGACATTTTCTAATACATATGTGCACTGGTTATTTTGGTATGTACAATAACGATCCTTGAACATGTGTACAAGTGCTTTTGATTTTCTATCTAATGAATACTGTAATGGTAATTGCCATTTATTTATTTTATGATAACTCTTAGTTCGACTTAGTCTATAATATGGAGTAACAAACAACATTTTTAAATTAAAAAAAGCGTAGAAAGAACCCCTGTGTGCTTGCTGAGAGTATTGGAGATGTATTAAGAATTAATTCCAATTTTAAGATAAGCCTAGGATTTCTATTTTGAATTTTGTGTATAACAATATATTTTACACAATGTACATGTATCTGTTGCATGGGACCCATATAAAACACTGCCCTGCATGTAGGCTGAGGTAATTTAAAGTATAATTTGCATGCAATTTCTTTTTTTTTTGACAAGTCAGGAAATTAAACTGCTTTGATGACATTTATTAAAAACACATTTACATGTAGATAGTCTGTAATTACACATTAGTTCATATGGGGTAGCTGTTGGACTCGCTGTGCTGATGAATATATCAGTCAACACGTACAATGCAAGGTTATGTCTTGTGTAGATTATGTTATGTCACAAGTTTTAGGATAACAGAGTAAGTTTTACCCCTCCCGGTACTGTAGTATTTTTACTCAATATTGATTATGATTTATTTAAACGGAAAACATGATTCTTTCAGGACACAGTATTTATACAGACACTAATTGTCCTTTTTAAATATTGTGGAAATCGTTATCGCCTTAAATTTTAATGGATTTTGTGAGATGAAATTACACAAAAAGTTCCTGACAAATGAAATGTTTCCTGCTACAAAATTCATACTTTCACTCTAACAATAGATGCATAGAGCATAGTCATGCAAATAACAACAGCCAATAACATTTGTCTTTCACTAATATATTAGTATTAAATATAATTTCTCAATAGCACTGTGTCTCCAGTTTTTTATATGCTGGATCATTAAAATGTTATTTAGTTAATTCGACTGTAGACTTCATCATTTACAGTAGTGCAAACATGATTCATATGGGAGTTAGCAAACTCCCTAGGATAGCTTGAACATTGCAATATAGTCTATGACTTTCTTATTGGCACAATCAAATAATCTATCATAATGTTATAACAATTGCTATATTTTTGTGACGTCTCACTTCTCCTGCCGTCACTTGATTTTTGACTATTTAATTCTTGTCTTGGTATGTACTATGGCTAAGTTGTTGTGTGTTTTCTTATTGCAACATTGTTGTAACTATACATAGAAAGTTGTAAATTATCTACATGAATCTTATTTGCAGTCACTTCAAGTTACTGAGGTTATTGGAACATTGATAAGAACTTTCCCAGAGAAGTTGTAAGTTCAAGTATGAATCTTGTTACGGTATTTTAAAGTTATGGGCTAATAATAGAGAAAATATTGTATATTGAATGTATTGTTTTATACATAAAACAAAAGATACACAATGGAATGCATCAGAAGTCCTTTGTCTGGTGTTTTAATTAGGTGTCAATCAGATTAGGCATCTGTGATTCAATTCAACAGGTGGCCCAGGAGTTTGTTGATTTCAAAGTAGGTAATATTTAGCCCTTCAAACATTTTTCTAACCAAAATCTATGTGGGACATTTCGCACATTTTTATCTATTCTTCTATAATAATTTTTGTACAGTTTATTATTCATGATTTTATCATGGAGATACCATTAACATGTTTGTAATATTTTTGTGCCAAAATCAATGTTCGAGTATGGGATCATAATGCTGTATATGTTTGTCACAGGTACTATTTCTATACCAATAACTTCCATGTTAGGAAAATACTAATGGCAGTGTATGTTTATTATATTTAACATTTTATATACGGCCTATATAAGGGGGGGGGCGTGTCACAGAACATTGTACAAACACAACTATACCATATATTTCTATGGGCTCTGTGCATACTGCTGTGGAATGCTAGTTGAAGAGACGGCTAAAAACTGCTAAAATTGGGGGGAAACTGCACAAACTCAACTTTGAAGTTATCATGAGCAACCTAATTTATATACGTTACACATGTATGGGTAATCTTGTTACTCTGTTCAAGAGAGTCTCGACAACTATCCCAGAGAACAGTTTTCGACATTTGTTTTCCTCGTGATGGTTGCTAGGTGGTGAAAATGCCCGGATGTCTGTCCCCCGAAATTGACAACTAATATATTGTAGGTGTTATCAGCAGTATAAGGATTTCATTATCAGCTACATTGATCATTGATTATAAGTCGTCGCAGTTTAATCTGAAGCTCTCTTTCCATCTGTTTGTGATCATGGAATATTTTTGCTATAAAATGCTGCCTTACACTTATTCGAAATCCAGTTTGTCTGAGTACTTAAAACAAACAGCATGCAGCTGGATAAATGAAATTCAATTTTAACACTGACAGTAGTGTCATACATTTTCACTGGCTTATGAAGGCAGCTGTATGAACTGACACTTAACTACTGTACATTCAGTTAAACAGCACATATTAGAATTTTCCTATCATTTGAGATTTGTTCTCATCTCATTGTCCTGTTTGCTGCTTTGAATACAGTACAAATACAAAGCATGAATACACGATTCCTATTTCCCAGCTATTATCCCTCAATTTCTAAATGACTGATTTGTTCCATGTTCACAGCAATTGAATCAACATAAACGCTGTACTTCCATTATGTCAGGGATTACACTTACCTCTGATTAATTTCTTATTCAATAGACGTACATTATACTACTGCAATTTAGTCTTTAGTCTGAAAACCATTAGCTGTTGTGTATTCGATACAATTTAATATATTATGATGATGTTAATGGCTACAAATATGTATACCACATGGCTGTTTTATAGCTGCATTTAATTTTTGCAGACACCTATTAAAATTGTCTTTTGTTGATGGGTGGTGGTCGTAGCTTCGCGTCCTGTTCGATTTGGAACTCGTAGCGACGTACAAAACCAGGTAAAATACATTTTTTACATGAAATTCAAAGACGTGCTGCGCGACGACTACCGTTCTTTAAACTGATGTTTTGAAACTTTTGAAATGTGCCATTGTGATTGGTCAGAAAAAAAGACATTTGATACTTATATTCACAATTGTCTGAATTTGAAAGTAATGCAAGCTTGAGCATGCTTGAAACAAAAAAGAATTGAAATTATTTATATACACTGTAAATACCGGTATAATTAAACTGTGTTTATTGAACAACTTGCAGTACCAAATTTGATGAGCAGTCAATTCTATGTGAGACAGTAGGAGCCAAAGGCGAGCACACTTTTGAGCGTAAATAAAACTCTGTATCAAATATGGCCCTGTAGAGAATCCATATTGTAATTATTTCATCAATATTTTGCTTTTTTTGTCCTGAACCTGACTTATGCATATGTGTCATGAAATACTGTCTCCTTGAAACAAAACACATGCTTTTATTTTTATGTCACAAACACAGAAACACCAGAATTTCATTAATGTCAAAATGTTGTATATGAAACGCAATAGAGTACTGTACCATATGCTTATGCAGTATCTTATTGTATACCAGGATGGTTAATTGTTTTAAATAATTATTTTAACTAATAACATTTTATTGTTTCTTCTGAAAATACAAAACATACATGCATGTAGCATTATTTTGGGAACAGAACATACTCAAAGTATATTATCTATTTCAATAAAAATTGAAATGTGATACTATCTATTGCGATATGTAAATAATTTGTCAGTTCTTGTGTCGCCATGGTTACTAATGATGGATATACATTTAATTTAAAGTAGCAAAATGAAATATTAATCCCCTGAGTCCTGATAGGAGATGCACTTATAATTATTATCACTGAGAATATATGGCTGCATCTTCACCAGCCAAGGTTCAATTATTTGGAAGTTGCGTCACCATTATACCTAGGAAGATTTCCCACTATAAACCTGTATTCAACTGCCGATGAAATCAATCACAGCGGTGCATGTTCTGGTACGTTGCCATGGTAAATTGAACAAAAAATCAAGCTTTGTTCCAAAGAAATTCGAACGCGCAGTGTTTGTATGTTTTCCAGTTTAGCTATGACATGATATAAGATAACAAGATCTATTGGTTTAAATTAGAAATTGATGCGAGTTGTTACAGAATTGCTGATTGGTGGATCCAACTTCTTGTCGAATCAAATCATTCAATTTAACTGAGGTCAAATACAGCTTTTCGGGACCACTATGAATGGTTGTCTTTGGCAAAACCATGCTAATCGGACAATGATAGGACAATACACTGTCGCTATATAAGTGACTGTACAGTGTTTTGAAGCCGTAATCATCCTCTGAACTATGATTGATTATATTTGTTTGTAAGTATTTCTGAAATACCATATATCATAAGTTATAACTTATGAATTTGTTATAATTGTGTTTTGAACTGGGCTTCCCATCTTAGTTGCAGAGTGGCATCTGTATATTTTGACAAAATCATTTTAAGTGCTTTTGTCTGTTTTGTAAATACGAGTGGCTCATTATTTAATGTGGCAATATTTGTTGTGTTTCATATATAAGGATGTAAGTAAGTTTGACGTACTATTCAAGCAGGTTTTTGTGCAAACTATCACCTAAATCATGTCATTTATCTGTTCGTATTTCAGCTGCTTTTTCAATACATGTATTGATGTTTTGCTCTAACAGTAGTACTTTTGTTTCACTTTACAGGTTGTCATAGCAACTGATTACGATGGGTGCTTCATCGTCGTCGTCCTCCGTGGCTGTGGAGAATCTATTCCCCGCTATTATCCAGTGTTTCTTCATCATCTTTGTTGGATATATTTGTGGTCGGACTCGAATAGTTTCCCCTACAGAATCAAAAGGAATAGGTCACTATGTGTCCTACATTGCTCTACCATCTCTGCTGTTCAAAGCAATGGTGGAGCTTGATTTTTCATCTGTTAACTGGATTCTCTGGATGAGTATTCTAATCTCCAAGTCTATTGTTTTCATCCTGGTGTTTGTGTTTACAACTATGCTCGGACGTCCAGTGCAACTGGGCACGGCTGGAATTTACTCCATCTTTGCAACGCAAAGCAATGATTTTGCTTTGGGCTACCCGATCATAAAGGCATTATATGCAAAAACACATCCTGAGTTTGTAAACTACCTGTACTTATTTGCTCCAATTAGTTTAGCTATTCTTAATCCAATTGGCTTTATTTTTCTGGAAATCCAACGAAGTCGATCAATGGACGCGGAAGATCAGCAAGCTGCCTGGAAGGTTGCATGGAATGTAACAAAGAGAAGCATTGCAAACCCAGTATTGATTGTCGTATTTGTTGGGGTTATATTCAACTACATATTTCAAGGAGCTGTGCCGATATTTATTAAAGATATCTTGAAATTGCTTGGTGACTCGTTTAATGCGACTGCTTTGTTTTATTTGGGACTTGGTCTTGTTGGAACTTCACATCGCCAAGCTAAATTTGTTCTGGTGGTGCCTGCAATATTGATTGCTGCTAAATCGTGAGTATGCATTACATAGATGCTGTACATGTGACGTAGTGTACGTTGACCTAAATGTGATCACAGGTTTATGGACAGAATGTTGTAAAAACTACAGAATTATTCGATACATGTATATTTAGTCAGATACTTTAATCAGTACCTTTCTTTAAATAAGATTCTCGGTTTTTACTCCACAAATGTCTGCTTCTCCATATATTTTAAAATCCACACTACATAGTCAATCATGCATGATATTTGCTCTCAGTTATAACTTTCATTTCTAATGGAGCAAATATGGATATATCAAAATATATTGTAATTTGAGAAAAAAAATCTCTTGATTTGACAAGAAAAAAATCTCTCGGTTTTGATATCTTTACAAAGATTAAGTGTACATGTACACACATGTAGGTATATATCAATTTTTATTTTTGTCTTTGTTTTTACAGTATTTTTCTGCCTTTGTTGACTCGTGCTATTATTAGTGGTATGAATGCAGGAGATACTGCTAATGCTACCGAGGCGCTCAGTACATTTGGATTTATTTATGGTACATTTCCAACAGCACCAACAGTATATGTTTATGCAACATTATTTAATTCAAACCAAGCTCTTGTAAGTATTATTATTATAGGCATTTAAGTTGCACTCTGAGATCACTCTGTTATGTGAAATATTTAATGCTCTAAATTTTGGCCCAAATTGCGGGAAATATTTACTAAGTAATAATAATATTTAAGTTTCAAATCTTCAATGTTTTTCAGCGTGTCTGCATTTATTTTGGCTTCCTATTTTATTGCTTGTTTCAATTTCATCTGCCATCTGCTTCCCACATGCACAGATTAATAATGATTATTGCTTCTCTTATGAATTATGTTTTGTTGAATTCTGACGTATTTTCCACAATTCATGACTATTCAAATGCACAAACTGACGCTGAGTTATATTTTGACCCATGCATTATTATTTGACTTCGGGTCAAAAAATAACAACAGCTCATAAAAAACAAATCCGAATCCAGCAGTAAAATCTTTTTTTTTTCTGAAAATTCGTCAGTGTTGGTCACTTTATAGTATATACTCGTGTGATTATTGTGATTAACATCCTAAAGTATGCGCATGATGTGTTCTCTGTTTATCTCACAGGTCTTGGCTGTTTACTTAACTTTCTCTTTCTCTGAGTCACTTTCACTGTTTTTGTGTTGATGCAGTTGCAAATACCAGAGATACATGTAACATGTGGTAATGCCCAAAGCAATATTGATATATTTTCTCGCAGTATACATGTATGCTTGAAAAAACACCAACATTGCTTCTCACAGCACAACATGTTAACTCTAGTTTTTGTCATGAATAACCTTAGTTGTAAATAAAGAAAAAGAAATAAATCAGTAATTTTTTTTACAGATTGCTACAGGTTTATTGGTTGGTACTTTTCTGTCTGCTCCATTGATGTTTATTTCTGCCACCATGGAGGCCTTACCCGTGAACAATCCTGCTGAGTATGAGAGTCTAGTGGCCGAGGCATCGCTGTATATCAGTATTATTGGCATTGGATGCTGTGTACGTATAGCATAGGAAATATGTAACAATTTTAACGAGTGCTGAAGACTTTTTTTCATTATTTTATTTTTAAAATTATTTTTGTGCAAGGCGACAGTTTTGGACATTAAATGTCACTCTTGTCTCTCCTGACTTTTTTGTATGTGCTCGTGCGAGTGCTGACATATAGTGCATACTTTCTTGAGATCATGTCCCAGTTTGACAGGGCTATGTGACCTATCATTCCTTTTTGGCAATTTAATACGATATCTGGCATCAACCAGATCAGGTTGAACACAAGCACCTGCGGACCTTAATCAAGGCCAGAACGCTCACAAAGTTGCATTCCTGGAGGGGGGGACCCCTTGTAGGACATGAACTTGGATATACCTATGATAAGCCCATTGTTGCAACCACTATGCTACCAGTGATCGATAGGATATAATTTATTTGCTGTTAAAACAAATGTTCTCATTGACTAAAAGAATTTGTTTATTTGCTCTGTTAGAATTCTAGCTCGATCAATTGTTATTGCTAATATTTTAAAAGGCTTTCACTTCAACCTGCTCCTTAAATATGGCACTTTTTGATATTTCATACTTTTACCTCAAATCTAATTTACCTAATTTGTATGCTAACATCCATATTGTTTTTTATAGATTTGGGTATTGGGTATTTTCCTCATCAGCAGAAGATCCACATGGATTCCACACAACTTTACAGTTAATCTTGTCTTAGCTCAGGTAAGATTGGTATGAGATTATCACAAAAATTAATTAAATCTGTGTGACAGCAGTGCAGTGGTTGTAGCAGAGGATGGTGTCACATCAGACCATCTGCCTGACATACTTTGTGGTATTCCCAAGATAACCTTATTCTAATTCAATCATTTCTTGCTTGCATAGCCATTACCAGCCCATGTATGACAAGGTTCACACATATGTTACATTGTTTTGTTACATTGTGCAGTGTAAAAAAAATGAAAGTGTTCAAATATGTTCAAGCGATTTCCATGCACTAAACTAGTACCATGTGAATATGCAAATCGAACCAAAGAATGTTTCCTTCACAAAACTTTGATTTAGAAACCAAGTTTTGTTAACCTGATATAATCAAATTCACTAAAATTAAACAATTGAAAATTTCTTTTTCCACAGTAGCAACATTCTTCAGAACAGAGATTATGCTTTCCTTTTACAAATTCCGTTTTCATAATAATATACAAGCATGTGAATTAACAATATTGGGAGCCAGTACAGCTCAAATTTACAATCTCTTAGAATTTGTTTGTGTTAACTATAGAGGGCGCTGTACTCATTTTGCTTTTATGTTAATTATTTTACATCCGCTGTTTTTTTTATCCAGAGTTGAGTTGTTCTGAGAGTTGAATATCATAAGCTTTGTTGTATATTGCTAGAGAAGACAGGAGCGGACAACACAAAATGTCTTATGTTTATTGTTTGAGTAGTAACAGTAACTAGAACACATCTGAATGTGTAAAAATTCAGTACTACTGGTAGTCTGAATATGAAAAAATTGCAACCAGCTTGTACGAAATAAATAATCCAAAGTTATCAGACATCTAAAAAAATCGAAAAGTTTTGAATAAACTTTTAGTAACCCAGACAATGAAATAAAGTTTGGCTAATATGTGGCGTCAAACTATGTGAATTTTCAATCCGTCCTGTATTATGTCACACTGGAATTACTGTAATAAGCATAAATATTTCTAAAGATTTTTTGTTAATATACAACATTTTTTTTTTTTTTTCAGTTGGTAGCTTGCATCGGTGTTATACTTTACCGATTCTGTGATGACAGAAAACCATGGCAACATTATATTCAATTTATAGCCTTTCTATTGGGCGTGTTGGGGTCAAGGTGCTGGACGTCCATGATTGCGTTAGCATTATGTTTGCTACGATGTAAAAGCATGTGTTTTGTTCTACGATATAAAGGCTTCTTTTACGTCTATGGATGGGGGTGAGTACGAATAGTTTAGTTCACAAATGATGTCACCGACATTAATATGAATAATTACTCATAAAGACCATTGATTCTGTCAAACAAATAAGGAAATAAAAACTAGTATAGCATCAAACAAATTTATAAATGTTGTTTTGTTGAAATAATAAGCAAGTGCTTTGTTTAGCAAGTAATGACCACAGGCATATATCTAGTACCCAAATCAGATCTTAAACCTGTAAATCACATAGTTATATAACATTTTTCACTCAGAATGACATCAATATGCGTTGCTATATTGTTGGTTGTTAGTACATCTCAGGATAAGATTGAAGTGGATCCGGTATTCCAATATGGTAATTTACAGGCAAGTAACTGAATCAGTTGGTTTATGGAATCTGTTTCACTCAATGTACGTGCGGTGAGATTCTGTTATTTTGTAATCTGCAATATAATTTTTTCATTTCAGTTAATAAAATTTGAACTTATTCTAACACCATCAATTTTGTTGTTTATCTTATTTTCTATAGGTTGTCATGTCAATAGTCATTTTGATCTCAAATATTGTCATAGTAACTGCTTCCTTGGTGATTTTACAAAGAAATGACAGGTTTCAGAATAATGAGTATTTACGTGTCAGTGGTGTCGACAGCGGTATTGATAACGATAACACTGTTGGACTAATGGAAGATGAAGATGAAGAAGAGGACCAATCAGGTAGCGTTTAGTTTGATTATATTAAGCGCACTAGCACAAGTCTATGGCCTTTACTGTTTGCACACTACAATAGATGTGAAAAACATATCAGAGAACACATATCGCAGATATGGGAAAGGTTTTATTTATTTAACTATGTTTAGATTCTAGAAACAGAGGCTCAGGTGATGCAGACATCCTTTGCAGTGAAAATGGTACTGTTAACGTAGTAGATGTAGAAAACATATCAGAGAACACATAGAATTGCAGATATGGGCAGGGTGTTATTTGTTTAACTATGTTTAGATTCTAGAAACAGAGGGTCAGGTGATGCAGACATCCTTTGCACTGAAAATGGTGCTGTCAACGTAGTAGATATAGAAAACATATCAGAGAACACCTGTAAGCACATTTCCAGATGTACTGAGCATAAACAAAGAAAATGTCGCATGATGTTGAATAAATATGAGAGTCGAGCTAATGAATTGAGTATGGAGAATGATGAGATACTATCAGCATTACAGAGACATCAATTAGTTCGACATATTGTCTTATTGTTATTGCTGTTATTGTCCATGTTTATTGTAAGTATACTTTTATAATTATTCATATTTTATTTTTAGCTATTTTAATTTACAATTTACTATATTTGTTCTCTGACATGTACATTACCCAAACATTGATCATTTAAATTTAAATGTTTTCAACCATGTACACAAAGCTGTCGTTTATGTAAATCTTAGTTATAATGTACAGAATAAATGGACAGTGACATAAAAACTTATAATGTAGGGCTTTCATATGACTGTTTTTATGCCCTGTCACATAGTGCTTGTGGGGTACATAGTGGTTACCAGCATTCGTCCATCCATATTGCTTAGAGACATATACAACCAGTTCTTTGTTTAAGACACTGCATACAAAAGTTTATTGACATATTTAGAGACCCTATATTGTCAGGTAACATCATTAAAATGCAGAAACAGCATATATGGAGAACTATTGCAGATAGAGACATTTAACCAGTGCTTGTAAAAAACGTTTGGGGAATCTGACATTTATTTATCATACTGTGGAATACTTAGAATTTTCGCTATTTTCGCTGAAGGAATAATTCCGTGAAAATAAAATCCAGCGAATATACTTTTTTTTCTATATTTCACATTAAACTTATCAAAAATCAGTGAAAATAAATTCTATACAAAACGCCCAAAAAGCCTTTTCAGCGAAAATTAATTCCAGCGAAAATAAAGTATTCCACAGTAGTTCACATAGAAATTCTGAGGTAACCTAGTACTGGACTATGTAGACTTCAATACAGTGACAATGACCTTAAGTAGTATTATTGTACTGCCAAAATAACAACCATTTTCAAAGTGACCTGTGAATTTTACTAAAGGCACAATATATAATTCTTTATTTTAGGGGTTATTTCTGTGTATGTGGAGGTTGTTTAATGACAGCAAGTCTGGAATCTATGTAGAATTGGAATTCTTGGACAGCGTGTTCTCTTTTGGTCAGAGTTTCTTTGTCCTGGCGTGTTTTGGATTTGATACACAGTATGTTATAATGCCTTTCATGAAAAAGTGAGTTTTTCTTCTCAATTTGTTTTTGCATCTATTTTTTGTTTCTGACACAGTTTTCAGACATATTCACAAAAAATGCCATGATAGATAGGATTGACTAGTAGAAAATTTGAAGAATTTTAACACCGAAAAAATTTGTGTTATTCTCCTAAGTGAATAGTTTCATCAATTATCGGAAAAAGAGCAAGCAACAGAAAAAGAAACTATAAATGGTTTCCATAGAAACAATAGCTTTGTGCTTTCCTAATACCATTAACATATTGCCTGCTGAAAGCCTCCACAGAAAATGGGTGAAAATGGCATCAGCAGGCAAAGGCACTAGATCACTGGTAGCCATTTTGAATTGAAATACATAAAAATAAGGCTCAGTTACACAAAGTTAATATTTTAGAATTTCAAAGACCCAATCAGGGAATATTTAAACAAAATGTCAGAAAATTCCTGTCTTAGTCGCATATCAATCACAGGCGGATGATATATCTGAAATGATGTTGATAAATTCATACATAAGTCATACATTACATTTACTACTATCTGAGCATGCTGAGTTGTACTAACATTCTATTACTGTCATTGTTTAATGCTTTCATATTCAGGATGTCTATAGAATTAGACTATGCCATAGCATTGCTAAAACATAGGTAATATGATCATCACATGCTTCTTGTGTGCATTCATTACCTCATCATGTGAATCATTCTTCACTATATTCATTCAATCTTTGCACCAATCTTATTAGGCTATACTCATTGTGTGGTCTGGGGCTTACAAGAATTGTATGTGTAAAGAAAACAAAAAATGTGTTAGAAAATAATCTGGTGTATACACTGTCATTACACTAATTGTCAAATAAAAACATCAGTTCACCTTATTGTGGACATTGCAAAAGTTTGTGTAGATGACATTTTTTGCCACCTGTTGCCTTTTTATTTAAAAATAAATCACTTCCTAATAGAAAGGTCAATAAATGTTTATGTGTATAATAAAATAAAATTGCAAGATGGCTGTGCCAACATTTAATTGTCGTTTTCTGGCTGACTTTACCAATCAATCAATCAATCAATAGATTAATCAATTAATTCATTCCTTCATGCACTGGTATAGATACTTTCCATACATGCATTATTGTCTGAGACCACCTAACATTGTCATCACTATCAATATTTTTCTAATGTTGACATAACAACAGGCAATTAATTTCGCATATTCTAATGTATTAGTAGTATTTCATACTTGTTTTTCCAAAGTACATTTTGCCGTTATTATAGTTGTTCATCTTTAATGTCGCACTGTGCCGTAAAATACATTATAAATATAACTGCTAACATTTTTGGGATGTTGTCACTATCATAAGTGTTATGTCTTCATAACCTGGAAAGGAACATGCACAATTTGTTTGATATTTCCATTCAAAATAAATCCCTGTCAGTGGAAATCACATTTTTATGGTATGGTTGTTACTGAGTTGGGCAATTTGGCATTTCCCTGTATTACTTAAAGCACACTCGGGAATTGAGTCCCAAGCGATGATAACAATACATGCTAAAAATGCAAAGGCTCGTGGGTAGAAGCTCATTTGTAAACAACGACACACTATGGCCACATGATGCTTGCGCAGGTGATGACTCCCCCCACTTTAACAAAACATTCAAGTTATTTTATGAACAAAAATTCAGAAAAATACTGGGGTAACATTTACTCTGTGTGCTGGTGACTTTCACCAAACATTGTGTCACAGTACTGGTATCAGTACGGTATTAGAAAACAGTCAAATTGTGATATGCCAGATTAAAGAGAGACAGATAATGTTTGATAAGTTAGTTGGTATGTAACTAAACACTTTGATTATATCAATAACTAAACTGACGTCAATCAATTAAACTGATAAGCTCTTCAGAATAACTTTCCAGTCAATTAACATAAAAATAATATTCTTCTTGGTAGTACATGGATTCATACTATTCTAAGGTGTATTGGATAAGTGCAGCATTCATTAAAAACAATCTGAAACTTTTTTTTTTTTGTCAGTTGGCATGCTCATTCATTGTACACTTACTGATTGCACAGTATTTGCATCATATATATGGTTTGCATGCCTTCTCCACTTCATACTCACGTGTATATTGTTAATTAATAGCTGTAAATAATTATGTGAAGATATTTCATTGGGTTGGTTTGTTAATTGAAATTGTTATTTATCAATTTGGGAAATTGTAATTATCATAGATGGCGGAAATTCTGGTATGGAGTTGAACACGTGCAGCTGCCCGAGAAAAGAGATTTGGATCAAGAGACCAAATTTACCTGTGAACAGTTTAATATGTACCACAAAGACAGATGTAAACAAGAGTTAGTACATGATTTGAGGTATGGTAATAAATATCTGATTTCATAATAAATACTCTCTTTATATCACCAGTGTAGAAATTTCACAGCCCTTGGTGGTATAAAGTTTTGCTCATGGTCACTTAGGGACAACATCAAAAGTTCAATGTAGGATAAAAAACTCAATTCCTTTAGTCTCCCCCCTCCCACTGAAACTTAATTGATAAATATTGATCATGGCATCAGACTACATTCACCAACCGTTTAATAGGAAATAATGAAGCTGAATATACGCATGTGCAAACTACTTTTCTGGGTTCTGCACATGCTCTAGGTCCATGCCCTGAAACTGACCTCATTTGACGCACATGTTTACACTTGGGCCAAACCATTTTCTCGTCTTGGATGTTTTTATTTTCATTTTCTGTTATTTTTGTCCATGATTGGATAGAAAAAAAAAACGAACTACAAATACTCCAAGATTTTTTCGACCTCATAAAAAAATAAAATCGCTTTTGTAGGATGGAAACTTTTTGTAGTCAACCCCCCCCCCCCAATCTAAAGTTTAAATTCTGTGGAATACTTTATTTTCGCTGGAAATAAATGTCGCTGAAAAGGCTTTTTGGGCATTCTTTATGGAATTTATTTTCACTGATTTTTGATGAGTTGAATGTGAAATATAGGAAAAAAAGTATATTAGCTGGATTTTATTTTCACGGAATCCTCCCTTCAGCGAAAATAGCGAAAATAAATTCCAAGCAGAAATAAAGTATTCTACAGTTAGTTTTTTATCCGACATCGATCTTTTGACGTCGTCCCTTAGTACATGTATCAAACAAAATACTTGATGTGTAATCAATACTTGGCGGTATAATACAAAAAATAGGCTAATATGTTGGGTTCTATCAAACTTGCAATTGTGTAAAGTAACACTTCAATTGATGATGTGGGTATTTTGTGATATGTGTTTGGATGACCTCTATTGAAGTAAATATTCAGAGAGTATTCAGCTATATACTGTAAATCACTCCATCCACAGACTGAAGCAATAACAGTATAACAGCACATAGCAAAAAACTGTTCAGTTCAAAATCAAAACGCTGCCTTGTGTGATAATGTATTTAAGGAATTTAACATGTTGAAGTTCTAGGGTACTTGTTATACCGTATTACCTCGGGCACGCGCCCAGGGGCCTGAACAAACAAAATCGGGAAAAAATGGGGGTGGGCGCTTACCCGAGGACCACCCCAAAAAAAGATTTTAAAAAGTTGTTTTTGTGATCGTATGATAAGGTCAAATAAAGGATTG